CATAGGAAATTGTCAATGACATGATTAAGTCTGCTAATTCATATATCAATAGAATGACTTAAAACAAACAGTCAATATGAATTATTCAGTTTCTCTACTAAAAAGGGTGCATCTTTATTGAATTTTACAAAACTAAACTGTTCAAGAAAACTACTTTAGTCTTTGGTTTAGCTAAATTGTAACTTCTATGGCCACAATTTCAAGAGTCTTTATAATCCTTTCATGTTATAGATTTTATACTTTGTTATGCTTTATTATCTAATTTAAAATTAACGACGTTTGGATTTTTTTTTTAAATCTATGATTTCTCTTCACTGAGTGTACAGATAATTTCACAAGTTAGCTACAGCAGCAACTGAAGTTATTTCACAATTTAGAGCTGTTAAATTGTGATTTTTTTTTTTCTTCCTTCCTGGATTTCAGTTGGTATAACTGACATGTCTTGATTGAAGAATATACAAGAGTTAATTGAATCCATTTAAAAAATTACACTGCATCTAAAGTGTTATTGATAAGAAGTCAAGTCTTTAAAATTCTACCATAAAATACTTAGCTTGAAAGACCTTGTCATATATTAGATGACACATCCATTTCATAAGTAAGTTTTATTTTTTTATATTTTTTATTCGAATTCCACTTTGAAGTATTTGGGGGAATAATTTACCTGGAGATGCATAAATTTCTGCAATAAAGTGGTTTGAAAACCCAGCAAGAAAGATGTGATATCAAATTTTGAGGAGAAAAATGAATAAAAATTTCTTTGCTTATGCTTTCATTGGTTTAATTAAAATTGACATGGGTTTTTTTGGATTGCCTGCTTCTGACAAGTAAAACTGTTAAAGACTGAAATACAGCATAATTGGTCATCAAATTAAATCTTCCAAAGAACAAAATCTAACAAAACTGATCCATTCAATTAATCTCCCTTGTTCATATGAATCGGCCATTGCTAAATACAGACAACTGCAGTCTCATTCTATCTCTAAATATAATTTTAATAAACAACAAATTAAGTTTTCCACAGTTACTCCTTTCATTACAAAATTGACTGCATTTAATTATCCTAACCAATTCTCATTTGAAACACAGTCAATCTTAATCAAGGTATATAATGAAAAATTATTGAATATTCTAGATATTTTTTTTTTTTTAAATTTTAATTTTCATCTAGTGTTTCTGTACTAATTTATAAGATGGTTTAGATATTTCATTATGGATTAGATGGTTTAGATATTTCATATGAAGCATTTGCATAAACTGATGAAGTCAATAGAATATTGAATATTTAAAGAATAAATACTGAGTTTGCAAATGAAGAAACATCAAAGGAAAGATATTGATTCACAGTTTCTACTACATAAATAAAAAAAAAAGCAAACAAACAAACAACAAGAAGGCTGAAGGAAAAAATTAAAAACATGATATCTGTATTCACTCTACTGTCACATAATAATGTAAGTGGACACACTCACTCCCACTCACACAGACACACACATAAAAAATAAAAATAAAAATTGCATTTAACCAAACAGTGGACTGTGCAATGATTACAGTATATAACAAATAAATATCAAACAATATTTTGGTCACTGACAATTGGAAAGCTCCTCATGGGTAAGTCTCTTTATTTAAAACCCACCAACAGACAGAGATCCAAGATTGAGTGTATGTGTGTGTATTTTCTTTAAAAAATAACAAAATAATGAAGAAAATTTAACATGGAAACAAGACACTGAGGTTATTATAATTCCTACCCAATTGACTACTCTCTGAGTTGAAGACCCACATACATACATACATACATACAATCAAAATGTGTTTCCTAAGTTGTGAATTCACTGTAATGCAGAACCAGAATCAAGTCAAGTGTTCATGTAATCTGGTAAATGTGTGAAATAGAAAAGATTTTGTTTTTGTTATTCCATGGGTTGCCAATTAAATTCTGTATGTCTGCCAACAGAAAGACAAATGGTGGATATTTTGTGCATAGAGTCCAAAACAAGATTGAAATCTGCTTGAATTACAAGATTTTTCCCTCTCTTTTTTGAACTATTTATTTACTAAGTTTAACTTAGTTTGACACAAGGCCACAAGTATAGGGCAGTTTGTGAGGATTAAACTCACTACTCAGTTGTAATGGTCAACCACAATAGCATTACTCCCACCGTCAGGTACCTTTTCATATATGTGAATTAATCAAAAAGGTGGCTCATTTTATAAAGTTATTGTTTCTCTAACTAGTTGATCCAAATTTCAGCCGACATGTCATCATAAGTTCAAACTTGTAATTTATTTACACTGAAGTAAGTCTGGCTAAAGAGAATATTTTTAAATAATATTCAACAAGAACGTCATTCAGTCAGCAATACTGAAAAATCTTACTTGGTGCTTAAAGCTCATCTGATAAAAACTGATTTGTTATTCCTGAGCAATTTACAAAATATATAAAATATAAGGACACCTATCAACATCTACCAAGAGTGTAAACTGGTATTCACAATTTCTGATGTGTGGCATTTGTTCATATTTTTATGTTAATTCAATAACACTTCCATTGCATAAGGTCCTGTGGTAGAGTGTTGAACTGCAGACCATTAGGTCTTATATTTCAACTATTTGCCCCCAAAATAAAGTCAATTAAAACTCATAAAAATGTGAGCAAAATGATGTCATAGGAGGAAAGAGACAGACAAAAATCTGCCTCAGTTTTTACCTACAAAAGATTCACACTTTGAATCGTATTGGTACCAAATATTTTCTTAAAATTGTCTAGTAAACACTATTTCTATTTAAGTAGAAATGGATATGTATTTTATAAATGCACATTGAATATTATTTAGTACAATTATTTGGGCAATGCATTTTCCTGGAAGAGAGAATTGTGAAGAGTGACATTAAACTACATGATGAACAACCACCATTGTTGGCAACTTATAATAAATGAATAACACTAATCTACAATATGAGTTAGTTGTTAAAGGGTCATACGCAACATCATCCTTGCAATCAAGTGTGTGTGGTTGGATCCAATGATACAACAATAATATCAGATTTTGTAAGAAGTATATACTAAAACAGTACATACCATTTTAAAAGAAGTGGAGGTCCTCAAAAGATCAGAATAAGCCTTATGATGAATGGTTATCTCAAGTCATAGGACATACCCAGCACCCACTAAAAAACAAAAAAATATTGCTGCTGAAGTGACAAGATTTAAAAACTGATCTTGTCCTTGAAATACCAGAAACAATTGCTTTAACTTTTTTTTTTTTTTTTTTGGTTTTATTACTTCAGGTTAACTTAATCTCTTAAGTTTTTTTTCAGGTTCAGCTAAGACCTTTTTGCCTATTCATATAAAGTCAGTCTCTCTCTTTCTCACACACACACACACACAAATTGGTCAACAAAAGTCTTTCCACAATGAAAAGCCTGAAGCAGAAAGACTGCTCTACTAAATAATTTAGCAATTGGGTGGAGGGTTTCAAAAATGTCTAAATGACAGAGGCCACAAGATGTGCAAGAGAGCAAAATTGGTTTCATGTGAAATTTGCTAATCTATAATCCTGTGACATTTTTCATTCACTCATCAAATTGTAAATGTATTTAAAAAAAATGGAATGAATTTGTTATTAAGAGGAAAACAAAATATTAGATGATCCGAGGATAATTATTAAAGAGATTTTTTTTATCTGGACTCATATACCAAATACATTTTTTACTTTCAACATCAATTGTGATCTTTTTGAGGTTGTAAAAATAAAAATCAAAAAACACACCTAAAATTTTCTCAACAGTTGCAATTATATAAAGATGTCACTAGAGGTAAAATGAATATCTCTTCTATATAATGAGAGACTTTTTTTTTTTTTTTTTCAGACTGGTATCACTAATTTTATTTAGAAAAAAATTAGTCAGTATGTTTTTTGTTTTTTTTTTGTTTTTTACAACCTTGAGAAGACAATGTTGTCAAAATTTTTATAGAAGGTATATAAACAATTATTTTCCTTTCTCCATAAAATTATAAAATATATTTAAATATGCATTGTTTTTTTTAATTTTATTTTTAATAATTTGTTTTTATTATTAAACTATGTAAAATAGAATAAATATCTGTTTAAAATGTCGTGTCTTCCTCTCACAAATCTTAAGAAATAGACAAGAAAATTGTTAGACATAATTGCAATAAAAATTTTTAAATAAAATTTAAAAAAATTCTTTTCTGCCCAGAAAGAAAAAAAAAAAATTAATAAAAATAGGTAAAGATAGTGCACGTCTTGTGAATTTAATTTTTTCCTGTTGAAGGAAATTTGATTTTTATGTATTTCCCATTACAAGTTTGTTTTCTGGTTTTGTCTTTTTTTTGGTGTTTTCATTTTTTTCCATTTTTGTTTTTTTTTTTTTTCTTTTGATTAAGTCACACAAGTTCACACATTTTTTTTTTTTTTGCATTCATAAAAAAAAAAAAATGTCTACCAAGTCCTTTGCTTAAGGTTTTGTTTTGCTTCTTGCAAAACCAAATTTGTAATAGAATTTTGATGTTTGATGAAAATTAAAAAGAAGTCCATTAATGATTTTTTTCTTTGACCCAACATCATATTGTGAACATGTCTTATTTAATTATTGACAAGATTAATAGTTTTTTTTTAAATCATAGAAAACAAATACTGACTAGTTTTAAGAGCAGAGTAGAAATCACACAGACGAGCCAATTTTGGTGTTTGAGTGCATAAACATATTCACACAGCTCCTATAACATCTGAATATAGATTTTATATTTCATACCACAATAGAGAAAATACTGTAATAATGTTAAAATATTATTCATCTGAAATTTTGTTGCATATTTATCTGCTCATTTGATTGTAAAAAACAAAATTAAAAAGAAAAATTTAAAAGCCTATTAATGCTGTCAAAAGGTTTAGATAATGCATATTCCCAATATATTGTATGAGCAAAGACAAAAAAAATGTCACCTCCAAATATTTAGCTAACTCCTTTAATTACTCAATAACAATAGTTTCAGTTCTTGGTCGTTTCTTTTGTGGTGGGTTTACCCAGTGTGACAATGTGCTGCTTTCAATAATACAGTCATTGTCTGAACTGTCCTGATCAGAAAGGGGTCTCTTATGTGCCCTGCTCCCAGATGGGGCTTCCATATAGGCAACAACTGTACACTCAGTGTTTATATGGGAAGGAGCTCCGGTAGTTGGAGTTTGTGACCATAAAGTATTGGCCATACCCTCTTTATAGAAATGGGACCTGAATTGATCCTCTGTTTGCAAATATGATGATAATGATGAGTCCTGAGCTGGGGGGAGTTGTGGTTGTGGCTGTTGTGAGGTGAGGGAGGTTAGAGATGAAGATGAAGTAGGAGTGGCCTGTTTACTACTCCCCTGATATCTGCTAGGCACAAAACCCGTGCTACTCTGTGATATGTTGGAGATGGTTGAAGTGTTGGACGTATTACGTAAAGGAAAGTCAGTCTGGGAGCTTTGTGTATCACCGGCAGCATTTCCCCCAGCCCCACCTGGAGGAAACGACACAGTGGCAGAGGCAGCCGTGGTGATGGTTGATGATGAAGGTGATGAAGCTGTGCTGTCACTGGAACTACTGCGAGCATCCATTGAGTTGCGTTTCTGTTGTCGTCTTTGAGCAAGTGGTGCATTAGCAACATCCTGAAGTCGGAATCCTTCACGAGTTGCTCGGTGGAATGCATCCATAGTTTGTACAAGTTGTTGCTGCAAGGCATTGCTGGTCGAGTAGAGCACCCCAGGAGTGTGAAGGGGTGTTTGGGAGAAGACACGGTCATTATTACCCTGAATCCATTTGTTTTTAAGAAGGCTTTGCATTGTTGAACGTTCTCTGGGATCAACTGTCAACAAGCCTTTAAGAAAAAGAAAAACAACATTATTTTTTCTTAGTTTAATAACATCTACACATACATAAATTATATAAACTTCATTTTTAGTTTCAAAAATTTTGTTATAATTTCAGAATGTTATTCTGATGTAATAGCTGAAGCAGAAATCAGTTTTTATATTCTAAAACTGCTGTCTATTTGTTTGTTAATTCAACTGACAAATATATTAGTTGTAAATAATTTTTGTTTTTGGGTGCCAATTGTGTTAACAAATGTATCATCCTAACTACTAATCATACAAAGTAGTTAACAAATTTGAAGTACACTAGCATACCTTAGTTTTTCTATGACAATAACAACATACACAGTGGATTAAAGGAAAATAAAAAAGGTTATTCTTCAGACTACATACATAAAACAGTAAAAACTTTTGGAATTCGGTTGGTCTTTTCTGCCATATTCACCTGACCTTCAACTAACTGATTATTAACATTTTTGATGGGGAAATCTTTATTGAAAACCTAACTTAAGAGTTTGTTGAAAATTTTCACATCAAATCCTGGGGAATTTTACTCAAAAGGTATGAAAGAACTGTCTGATAAATGGCAACATGTCATGTTTATTTTTGAAGAACAAATTTGACAAATGAAAATGGAAATTATTACTTAATTTAATATAAAGATTTTAAGAACCAAATAATCTAAAGGTGTGTTGAACTGGCGGTCCTCACAAAGTTTTCTATAGCTGTGGTATATTGAGAATTTTGTCTATGTTGGTAATGCAAATTATTAAAAACAGATTTTTTTTCAATTGGTATGATTAGAGTGCTTATTCTATCTCAGTGGTTTTTTGTTTTTGAATGTCAGCGACTATTTTTAACTTCCATTGAACTCTGCAAAATGATCATCATCAGTGGAAAATCTTAATGAAAGAGATTTCATAAAGCAATATCTTGTAAAAACAGCTGAAATTGTATGTCCAGAGAAGTCATACTGAACAGATTGATGAGATGGCAGGTGATTTGAGTCAACAGTTTAAGTTTTGAACATTTTTCTATGGAATAGCACAGCTCACCATTTTCATCAGGGCTTGTGACAATGAATTTCAAATTTATGAAGAACTAATTGAACTGGTCCCTATGCATGATACTACAACAAGCCAAGACATTTTTGAGAAAGTTGAACAGCTTCTCCATGAGTATGGCCTTGATTTGAATAAACTTGTGTATTTATCTACTGATTATGTTGCCAGTATGATTGGGAGACATAATAGGGTTGCTGCCAAGTTAGGTACAAAAATAGAAAACATATCTAGATTCAACATTCAAGCATTTTCACTGTATAATTCATCAACAGAACTTATGTGCTAAGATTTTAAAATTAGATCATTTAAGTTTTGTTACAAAAACAGTGAACAATATCAGAGGTCATGCTCTATATCACTGTCAGTTTAGCCAGTAATTGGAAGACATAAATAATCAGTTCACAGATGTCCCATTCTACACAGAAGTTCAATGGCCTTCATGTCACAAGGTACTGAAAAGATTTTTTTATTGTGACACAAAATTGATATGTTTTTGGAGATGAATTGTCAAAGCACAGGGGAATTGAAAGATGAAAGCTGGCTCCAAGATTTACCTTTTTCAGTGGATATCACTGCCCTATTAAGTGACCTTAATTTGAAGTTACAAGGTAAAAATAAAGCTCAACACTCAGTTATATGATGATATCAAGTGTTTAATTGCAAAATTAGCTTTACTGACATCCCAGTTGTTACATGAAAACAATTCATTTTCTGATGTGCAAGAAGTTGAAAAAACTGCCAATAGCGAGTCTATCATTATCTTTGCTAAGTATGACAATTACCTGGAATTGCTGTCAAAGGAATTTCAGTGAAGATTTTGTGATTTTTCATCTTGTTAATATCAGTTTGCATTAATCTCAGCAATATTCACTTTTGATGTTGCTCAAACAGAGTAAAGTCTACAGATGGAACTACTGGAAATGCAGACTGACTCAACACTAGAAGGAGGGGTACCCAGATTTTTTCATACCTTGCTCAGATATTTAAGAACTTCAGAAAGTTTGCCACAAAGATTATGGCGATTTTTGGATCCACATATGTCTGTGAGCAGTTCTTTTCATTTATGAAGGCCACAAATACATCCCACAGAACCAGATTAACTGATGAACATTTGTCATCTTTGATCAAAATGAGATCTACACAGACATTCCAACCTGATATATTGAGAATATTTTGTCTAAAGCAATGTCAGTCATCAGGAGAACAAAAAAATTATTAAACTGTACTACCTAGTATTGTAAGTATTTTGTATTTAAAGTTTAGTTATCACTAGCTGTGATTAATGTAAGACTGATGTGGCCCTCGAGGATGTAGATGTGGCTGATGTGGCCCTTCATACCCGAGTTTGAAATGCCTGATCTAAAGAGCTGTGAATTTAATTTTCTTCTGTCCTAATGCCTTTCCTACTACAAGTCCCAATCTGTCCTAATGCCTTCTCTACTACAAGTCCCAATATGTCCTAATGCCTTCCCTACTACAAGTCCAGTGCTGAGACTGTGAATCTAGTTTTATCATTTACATAGAATATGCAAGACTGAAAGCAATTCTGAATAAATCTCTCCAATATTTTTCAACCAGATTTAATCTTGTAAGAGGATCAAAATGAATGAAGGCTAAAATAGATACTGATTATACACAGTGACATTGTTTTCAAAAAGTCATGAAAATATGTTTTTCTTTTCATTTCTTTTTAAATACTTTGGCACATTTCTTAAAAAAATTTTCTAAGGCAAAATCTTCTCAAAAGATTTATGAGTAACTTAAACAAAAAAAAAGTGTCAGAATAAAAAGCAAAAATTTTATAAAAAAAACTATAGAAATATTTTAAAATTTAGCTCCCACATAACCAATGTATTGTATTTATAATAAATATATTTTCTTATTTAATTCATTGATACAGCCATCAAGGAAAAAGTTCCATTTCAAATGTGAATTAATTCAGAAATTTGAAGTTAAAACCTTTGCAACTCAAAACTAAAATGAGAAAAAACTTTATTTTTTAAACTTAATTAAAAGTAGCTTTGAAAAAAAATGTGAATTAATAAATGCAGCTAATTTTCACCTGTCAATAATGCAATAGTAATCATCTTTCTTAACAATATTCTGATGTCTGCTGGTTTAACAATCATAACAAGAGAAATTATTCAGCAGGTTCTTACCTCTAATTAACTTCTTGGCACTAGCAGAGACAGCATCCCATTCTTGACCTGTAAATTCAAATTCGCCTTCTTTTATTCTTTTAATGATTCCAGCTGGAGTCTCATCCTGATGCCTTGTTTGGAATGGAGCTTTCCCTGATAACATTGTGTACTACCAAAGAAAAAAAAAAACAGTGTATAAATAAAATCTACAAAGAACCTTTTACTGGTTTCAATTTTGTTGACATCAAAGAAAAAAAAAAAGTGACTAAACACTGTATTTCATCTCTTTAATCCATTGACCCCCAAAAAGAAAATTTCCAAAATCTAAATAAGGTATTGGTAATTTTTCAATGGTTCAGGCATCTCTTCAAACCTTCCTCTGATATAATGGCTGAAGTATCCAAGTCTTTTTGAAAAAATAATAAGGCATATACAACTAGAAAAGTTACCAAACATGGTTAGAAATTATCAAAGAGCTACAATAATATATAAACTAACAGGTTATCATCTGTAACAAAAATAGTTTAATATAAATGTAGAAGATAGATGTGGGGTTTGACATGAAAATGCACAAAATGTACCAACAGTAACTAAATTGAAAGATGAAAAGTACAATCAAAGTGGTCACTTGGGCATGTGTGTGTGTGTGTGTGTGTGTGTGTATTCTAATAAGAAATTCAATGTGTGTGTCTCTAATAAGAAATTCAAAAAGAATAATAATGCTATAAATAGTGCTTGTGTTATGTAAATAAAGATGGTGACCTATTAGGCAATTTGGAAAGATAAAGAATGATGAAGTTTGAAGGACTCTCAGCCAGAATGCTCCAGGGCTTAACCAGTTAGCCATCATGAGGAAAAGAGATGTATGCTCAAGTCTTGTTGATGGCAAATTTTTTCTTTTTGACCTGCATTGCTTCCTAACAGTTGAGAAATGATGATCTGTCTGTTGTAATAAAAAACAACTGAAATTAAGATGAAGGAGGTTCTGATCAAAAAGCTGATAGAGAATATCTCATTTTACTCAAAGGGATTTTACTAGTACATTCAATTGCAGTATTTTCACCTGCCAACTGAGTGTTTCATAATGCAGCCAAAGTAGATTCTTTTTAACACCATTAATATTCTGATGATTCAACACCTCCCTTCATCTAAAATTAGAATATTTGTCAAAAAGCATGACTTTATTCTCTGTGCTATCACTTTTGACTCTGGCAAAGAAGACAAAGAATAGAACAAAAATTACAAGAGATATTTGCAATTTCTCGCCACAAGAGTTCTTCACAAAAGGAAGTGAATTTAATTTCCTAGCAGAGACTATAAACAAGTTTGATTAAATGCAAATTTAAATAGACTCACCAAAATGACCCCCAAACTCCAAAGGTCACACGCCTCATCATAACCTCCATTTTTGTTGTTGGCAGTTGCCTGACTGAGAACTTCTGGTGCAGCAAAGTTCAAAGTGAAACACGGGGTTTGCAATTGTTGGTTCTCAGGTTTCAGTCGGGCAAAACCAAAGTCGACAATTTTGATTTGAGCATCTTCACTTTCGTCTTCAAACAGAATATTCTAGAAACAAAAATGAAATTACAAATATCAATAATAAAAATGATGCTATTATCCATTGTCAGGAGCTTTTCCATATTCATGGACAATTCTAGATAATTTTGATAAATTTGCATGACATTTAGAAATTTCATCAAAACTGATTTCTTTAATTGCGTTGTGTCATCAAAACGACCCTTTTGTTGCCACTGTTATAATGACAATGTATACTTGCTTGATACTTCATCAATGTCAATGTAGCAAAGACTTTGTAATTGCAGATGCCAATTATAATACGATGTTGAATAATATTCATAGAATAGTACTTCATATAAGAAGAGAAGAGATTTGCAGTCCAAATAGTATAGGGGATAGAGGAGAAATAGTAAATACAACCCTATGTCACACAACTTCCTCTATATAAGTGTTTCCGCTATAGTCACGTGATCTACCTAGCTCAGTTATGAGATCATATATATTTATTCACTTGTGATCTACGTTCAAACACCAGTGTCAGCAGTGACACTTTATTCTTATATAACAAATTGTAACATGAAGAACTGTCATTATTATTATTATTTATTTAAATTTCTTTCATTTGAATTTCATTGCTTTTTATTCTAACTCTTTAGTTATTAGTCTAAATATGGATTACCAAAAAAAGAACAAGCATTCAATAATATTTTAATTCCCATCTCTTATCCTAGAGAGATTGTCTTATAACAATTCTTTACTGATTAGGCTACAAAAGCTCAATCAGCGTTTGCCATACAGTTATATTCTTTTCTTCTCAAAGGGAATAAGATGAAATAAATACTAGTAGAACATTAATGATAATTCTTCATCTAAGAACTAACACTACTTGTGTAAATAAATAAAGAAGATATCATGAGATGTTGCTATATGGTTAAAATGATTGATGCCATCTAGTTGAGCTTTTGTAGCCTAATTAATAAGCTGCTGTGACAATAAGACACGCTCCTTCAGATGAAGAGAAGCAAGTCTAAATCTGGTGTAAAACTTATTCTTTATTTCTGATCCATGCTTTTTACTTACAGAATAATGATCAACAAGTTGAAAAAGAATATGCACCATCAGATGAAAATATTAATAAAAATTAATATTGAAAATATTTGTGCATTCATTTAATAATTTTTGATGCACATTAAAGTTGATTATGAAATACAAGCTGTATTAACATAGGTACCTCCATGAGATCGCTAAAAATAAGGATGCCAAACTTGACAAAAACAAAACTTTATCGTCTAAATGTTTATGTTATTATTAAGAGGAAAGATCAAAGTATTTACATTTTTTAATTGATGTCCAATTCCATGTCCAAAATTTTTGTTAAAAATCTTTTTTTTTTGAGTCAGAAAAATTGACAGATAATCAATCATGTAAATCATTTTTTCCATTTTATAAAAAAAAATGAAAATCTCAGTTTGAAATTCTTTTAAAAATCAATTATAATTTTTTCAAAACTTATTTTAAGAAAATCAGAAATTATAATGTTTATTTAAAATATTTTGAAACAAACTTAATTTAGTTTCTATGCTGAAAAGATGTAGTTTGAAAATAAAACAAAGCAGGTCATAAGATTTCGCGTCACTTGACAGGTGACAAAAGACATTTTCATGACATATTGATAGCTTACGTGAGGATAATTTATTCTACAGAAGGAGAGAAGTGAAATTATTTAGATTTAAGTGAACAAATTATTTACCTCATTATTTTTAAGGAAAACTTTCAACGCTCTATTTTTTTTTTGTACTTAGCTTTCACCTTTACGTTTACGATGCTTTATGGAAAATATATTATAAAAAAAATTAAAATAAGACTGTTGAGAGTGAAATTAAATTTCATAAAATTGTAATAAGATAGGTCACTGAAAAATTTTAAAAAACAACTTCACAAAATTGAAATTTTAATGAAATATGTAAATGAAATAAATGGTACTTTTTTTAAAAATTTAGTAATTCATTTATGCTGAAAATGGCTTAGGATGGTGTTCAAATTTTTTAATTAGTAAAATGATAATTCAAAATGCTCAACATGTGTTTTGCATGAAGAATTTGCAATAATGAGATGGACATTCAGCAGAAAATGCTTACACTCAAGCCATGTGATGTTTTATTGCTTGTGACCCTCCATACTTTTTAATTACAGCCATTTTAATGATTTTTTTTATGAACACAAAATTACATTTCTTAATTACTGCAGGTATTCTAATTGGACGAAGTGATACAATTTACAAAGCGCTAAAAAATGATCTATCTCATAAGGACATTTACAAAAGTGAATCCGGCTTTCAACTAATTTTATAATATTTTAACAACTTAAATGTAAAAATCTAAAATAATTAAAGAAATAACAAATAATTGTATTAAAATTCATTTTTCATTGAAAAAATTTTTTGCTTTCAGAAAATATTGTCAATATTCATAAAAGCAAATAAAAGCATTTGTTTTATTGAGTTTTGTATGTTACAATTCAGAGCTGATTTTCAGGTGGGGGGGGGGTCCAATTAAAAAAAAAAACATGATTTGCTTTCCTCAAATCCTTGTGCTTTTAATTAATATAATCACTAAACTGAATGTGATTGAATTTCTAGAGTTTTCATAAAGTTAGTTAATTTAATAAATATAAAAAAAAACATTTCTGCCATGGCTTTCATAAAAAAAAACATATTTATAATAATTTTGATCATCTGTGAATAGTTTCTGAAAGTTTCATTAACATCCGACAATTATTTTTATTTTTGCAAGATTTTCCAAATTAATGTGTGTCATACAAAAAAAAAAAATGTGCTAAAAATTGTATATGTTATTTTACTAGTTCCGGTGATACAAACAGAAACAAGGTTTTTAATCAAAATTTAGGATGTTCTAAAAAGAAGGAAAAATTTTTAAAAATAATTAAAAAAAACTTTGGTCTTTCCTCTTAATAATAACATGAACATTTAGATGATAAAATTTTGTTTCCATCAAGTTTGGTGTCTTTTTCATCATGCTATCTTCTTTTTTTAGTGATTTCATGGAGGTACCTATATTAATAAAATAACTATGATAAAAAAGTGTATAAATCAACAATTCACTGTAAATCAAATGATATTAGTTAAACTAAATTTTCATCTGACAGTCTTACAAATAAAGTCAATGTTGATGTTTAAAAAAATATTCTATAACTGAGTAGCAAAAGCCAAAAGCTATCTTCCTTTCCTATTTCCAACATTCATAATAAAAAGAAGGTAGTTGTGCTGATATGAACTTTGATATTGTCCAACTATGAAAAGCTAATGAAACATTAAAAAAAAAAATGATTTAACAGAACAAGATACTCCATTTGTGATTGATTTGTGAAAAGTAATAAATAGTGGCACAAATTGACTACAATCAAGACAGGATGAAGACTTATAAATACAACTTATAAATCACAAAGTAGTAAATTCATGTTAAGTGACTTTGTTAATGTGACTGTGTGATAAGAGACTAAAAGATTAAAAACTGAATTCTTCCATAAAACAAAGTGAACTACAAATTTTTATAATTAGTCAAATAATATACAACATTCCAGATATTTCTTGACAATTAGTTATAAAATATTTGTGTAAAAGTGTGCAGAGTATACCTCAGGTTTAAGATCACGATGAACAACTCCTTGCTGATGCATAAAATCCACAGCTTCAACAAGCATCCTCATGATGCGACCAGCCTCAGGTTCTGTAAAATTACTCTTCTTTCTAATTCGATCTAAAAGTTCCCCTCCTTTGAGAAGTTCCATCACTATATAAGTATGAAGCTGGAAAAAGAAAAAACAAAATGAAAGTAAAAGTTATAAATGATCTAGAAAAGTATTGATTCTTTAACTATTGATATTAAAAAAAAAAAAAAAGTCAAGGGATTTTTAAGATGAAGCATTGTTGTCACTTTTTTAAACTAATATATTCATTATAATTGCTATTATTACAGTATTAGAGCCAATATATTCCCCAGCCAATGACTGCAATATACAGGAAACAAGACAAACTCACACTATTCACAGGATGCCACATTTACTAAAAATTGACATTAAAAATAAAGATAAGGATAACAGGCCAAGGAAAGTTGTTACTTATTTAATAATCAATTTCAAAAAAAAAAAAGAAAAAAAAAAAGCCTAATTAATAGAATATTCTAGTGGTTGTATGAACAGTGTTGACAAAGTCATAGGGAAACATATTGAAAACTAATAATTTATAAATACACTGATACCAAAAATAACTATAAGGCTATATTTTAAACAAAGATTTTCAGTTTGAATTTCTGGGATGACGACTTTATTTTCATTTACAGTAAGTTTTTATAAGTTTTTAGCCACTGTTGATTACAGCACTTTTGACTTGTTTAATAACATCTCTTCTTTTTTTTTTCAGACAATACCTTCTTTGTATCAAGCTATTCTCATCTATGAACAATAATTGACTTATATCTTGCAATGAAAGTTTGTGGAAGTAAGGAAATTAGTGACTTTCAACAAGGGCAAATAATAGGATGGCATCAGTGTGGCAAATCAAATAGAGAAATTGCTAGGTTTTTCCAGGTTAATCATCAAATGGTTAATAATATTGTTAACAAATTTAATGAAGGAGGCCATTGTCGTGTGGAAAAATGTTCAGGAAGACCAAGCATTGTGTCTGAGCAAACAAAAAGCGCACCGAATAGGGAAGTCATCAGAAACCGTTGTCAGAGCATCAAAGATGTCGCCAACAGCATAAAAATGTCACCATATGCAGTGAGAAAGACTCTGAAAAAGCTTGGCTATCAAATAAGAGTTGCAAGAAAGAAGCCCTTGATTTCAGAGGTTTACAGGAACCTTTGTATGGACTGGGCAAGAGAATTCAAGAGCAAAAATTATGAATTTTGGCAATCTGTAATTTGGAAAGTAAATTCTGCCAATATTCTAATTCAAGATTGGTTTATATTTGGAGAAATCAGAATGAGACTTGGAACACTGAATGTCTGCAGGTGCCCGTGAAACATGGAGGGACTGAAGTAATGGTGTGAGGTACTGTCTTGTTTGGAGGGAAATCTGAGCTGATTCTTGTTGACAAACGGTTGAATGGTCCAAAATACTGTCAAATAGAAAGGACTACTCCCACTATTTCAAACCAATCAGATTGACAAGAATGTCTACCTTTTTCAAGAAGATGGAACGCTATGTCATACGAGCAAAGTAGCAAAGGCCTGGAAGGAATCGCAATGGGTAGCCCAAAATGCTGACATGAATCCAATAGAGCACGTTTGGGACCAGCTTGACTGAAGACTTCAAGAACGTGCAACCAAAATCACATCAGTGGCAACCCTTAAACATTGTTAAAGGAGTGGCAAAATATGGATCAGAAGATCATTGATAATTTGATCAAATCCATGAAAAATCAAATACAAGCACTGAAACTAGCAAATGGAGGAACTAGTCCATACTAATTCCAAATACTGTTTGTTTATGTTGAATAGGGATTACGTAATTAAATTTTGAAATTAGATGTAGTTTATTTTTCCTGGTTAAAAACTTTTCTTAGGCCACTGTAGACTAATGTCCTCATCTTTGTTATGTCATAGCATTAGTTCTTGAATTTGGTGGTATAGTAACTGTGAGTTCAATCCTTGTTCTAAGTAGTATTATTCACTTTGTTTTCACTGAAAACAAGGTGAATAATAACTGAGCATTACGAAATAACAAGATGAGATATCTCTAGACATAGAGCAGCAAAAGAGAACAATCTGCCTGACCCCAGATTGAATAAAGGGTTCAGTTTGAAACATTGTGATAATAAAAACAAAGACATGGACATTAGTTGGAATAAACAACATTTTCTTGGGGAAGGAATTGATGTAGAAAAGTAAGTTTTAGTCATAGTCATTCACCTTATTTTTATACAAATATTTTTAGGAACAATTTTAGTCTGATTCTTCCTGCAATTAGTCTTCTTACACTTTGGTACTAACAATGGTAAATAAGAGAAAATATACAATCTTGGAAAATGAGGAATTTTTATCTAACTTGAAAATATGTAACTTTTCATAAAACAAATTATTTTTGTAATTAGTAAATATGAAAAAAGTAAGTAATTATTTTTAAATACCCGTCCCCCCCACTCCTCAACCAAAGTTGAAATGGTTTATTCTTACAAGGCACTTCTTTCGACAGTAAATTCCACACCCTGAAATAGAGATTGGTGAAGGTGTTTTTCATTTTTTTTACCTCATCATGAAATACATCAATGAGTTTCACTATGTTGGGATGATTTTGACACATTCGGAGCATCTTCACTTCAGATGTATGGTCAACACGACGAGAAATAATTTTAACAGCATATTTCATTTTGCTTACTTTGTGTTCACAGCATCTGCAGAATTAAAAAAAAATATTTTGTGGTTATTTTTAAGATTTATATTTCTTTGATTATAATCAATTGATGCAAAATAAGACGACAGTCTGTTCAGTCATCATCAAAAGGAACAAAGAAAGAAAGAACAAACTTTAAAAAGAGCATGACATCAGATTACAACACGTATCAGTAAAGTTGGGGAAATCCAAGAGGACCAAAACTTTTACATAAGAATTTTTACATGTTAAGAAGTTGGATTTTAGATATAACAATAAATATCATTTCACCCCAAGCAAGGCAATAATGTCACTAAGATGAAAGGGGTTACTTGGAGTGAAAGGGGAATGAAAAGACTTTAGTGAGGAAAAAGAACAATAAAAGAGCAAGATTCAGGAAGAACGGCATTTGATGTTGCATTTCAATTTTTGAAGAATGTAGACAACAGGGAAGTAAAAAAACTGAAAGATTGTTTCACAGGCAAGAAGTGCAAGAAAAGAAACTATTAAAATAGGTTACATCTAGCTATTTCAACAGTAAAGTGACGAGACCTATTTGCCAATCTAGCAGTATATTTAAATTCATGTAATCAAAATATCAAGGAAGAGAGCTCATCAGAACAACTGCCATAAAAAATATTAATAGAAAAGACAGGAATGTGACTGAAGTCAAGATGCCAGTCTATTATGGATGCTTCTTTGGATTTATTGAGAATCTCAAGATATATAGCAGAGTGCCAGATATTTTATTTGATACATCAATGTTCTGACAGTAGTCTTATCAAATCAACAGGTTGGAAGAGTGGGACTGGGGGAATTTTTTTTTGTTTATGTGAGAAACACAGAAATGAATGGTGTGAACAAAGTGTATCTATTGAATCAAAAACAAGATTCTAAGACAACAAAGCCACAAGAAAGAAGTTTCCTTGTCTCCATAAATGGATCCAGGAATTTAATACTTATTTTACTAATCTTTTTTATCTTTAGACATGTCAGGATTATAAAAGAATTTTCTTTCAGCCACAGATTTCTAATCATATACTTTTTACTTTCCTTAATCCCTCAATACAAATGTTTGTAAATAATTATTACTTGCATGCAGTTTTTAAGTGATTCTATTTATTGATTCGTTTTCTACTGTTTGTTGAAGCCAGAAAATATATTTTAGATTATAAGAATTTGTGTGATAATAATGATTTAGTAATATGTCTTACTAATTAACCCATAGTTGTGGGGTGAAGAGGTGAATTCATACCTTTTCCAAGGGTATTTGTGTATATAATGAACCCAATGGGAATTGGAACTCAGCTCTCCAATTAGAAATCCTAAGCCATTATCCATTATACCACCTATACAGCAGCTGGTATTCAATGTGGTCACCTACCTAGGTACTAACCAGGTTTGATGTTGCTTAACTTGATGGTAAAGAAACCCGTGTTTCAACATGATGTAGCCGTAATTTATAAGTGAAATATATAGTTAAATAAATATATAAATATATATATATATATATATATATTGCCTAAAAATACAATTTAATTTTGCCTAAAAATAAAAATCTGAACCAACTTTTATTGTAAATAAGAAATATTATTCACTTTAAATTTAAATAAAAAATCATAATTCTAATGAAAAATAAAAATGACTCATAAAATCAAAAATCTTATGATAAATATAAAATCATCTAAAAGAAGTTCTTGTCAAAAGAATGAATTTCTCCTTTAAATCAATTTTAAAATCACTTTATACTTGGTGATCAATCTGACTGTTTCTCTTTCATTTTGACAACTTATAAAAAATACTGTTGCATTCTAAATACTATTAAAAGAACATTTACTATGATATTGCAAATTATCAAACATTTTAAATATGTCATTTCCATCTGTTGAAGTTAATGATGAATTAATTTAGAAAGGCTAATCTTAAAACTTATGATTTATTATGATTTTTATTCTATAATATTTATGTATTTCTAGATTTTAAAGATTGACAGGACGTAAAATTAATCTAACAAATCATACACATACTTCATGATCAAAGCCAGTTTTGGTACAAAATAACATTTATAAATTCTCTACTGAGGATTGAACTTATTATTAAATGTTTATAAGGCTTATCTATAAATCATTATAACATACATGCGTAAGTATATATATATATAGTTTACTTACCTGCATACAGAATAACTGCCCTCACCTAAGATTCCACCTTCCAGTTCATAATTTTGAAAAAATGGTGAATTCTGAAAATATAAGAATAATACTTCATTGTAGAAGAGAAAAAAGCTAGAAAAAGGTTTCTTTAAGGTTAGAGAATGACTGAGAGAAGAATGTCATTAAAAATTAGAGATATGTTAAGGGTATGGTTTTGACTAAAAAGTGGGTTTAAAAAGTCAGGATTTTGGGTAGCTGTAAACTCCACTGCAAAGGCAAAATCTTTTAAGTCTACAGCAATGTTACAATCCTTGCAGCAATCATTGATGATTTGTTGTTTTTTTTCAAAAATGGCTCTGAGAAGATTTCCTTCTTTAACAAAATTTACTTTTTCTTGGCTTGACAACATTTTATTGACATCTATGCAACGTCTTATAACCGCAGCAAAAAACATCCAGTACCTGATTGTGTGTCAGTGTGTAACTTTTGAAAGCCTATTAACACCCAGTAATACTCAGTTATTAAAAAAACCTCAGATAGCACAACTTGCAAGTATATAAAAACAAATTGGTACCTGAAGAAAAAATTGGAAAAAAAAAGAAAGAACTAGAAACATCTGAACAAGGTGAAACAAATCGTCCAGTGCCTTAATTTATATATATGTTCACTTATATATATATATATATATATATATATATATATATATGTGTGTGTGAACATTGAAGTCAACACTCAGGGGTGACAGTCTGTTTCATGCTGGATGCATTTGTCAGGCCGCCAATCAGGCTGACGATTGTGTCTAACATGAAACAGCATGTCACCTCTGAGTGTTGACTTCAATGTTCACTTTTATATTTACAAATGCTTTATCTCTGATATTGAACACTTTATCCCATAAATATATCACACCTTAGAACTATATTTCTTCATATATATATATGATACAATGCATAAGTAAGGGAACCCCTAATATTAAAAAAAATTGTCATAATTAACAAATCTTAAACTAATTTCATTAAGAAACTTAAACTTCATTAAGAAAAACCTTTATTAAATTAATTACAACCACTTTCAAAATTTTTTATTAGGTTGGGATAAAAATATTAATTAAAAATTAAGAAGTGCAAAAGTAAGTGAACCTTTATGTTTAATATTTGGTAACTCCACCTTTTGGGGTCACAATGTTGACCAGTATTTTTCTATAATTTTTAAGAATTTTCTGGCAGTATAAGCATCAATTTTTTTACCATTCTTCTTGGTAAAACACCTACAATTGCTCAATAGTTCTTACATGTACCACCTTCTTTCACTTGAACCACAGATTTTCAGTTGGGTTTAGGAGTTGTTTTTCTAGAATGTCTACTTTTTTACAAGAGCCATCAACTTGGTATTTGGTTACAACACTGTGACTGAAATTTCCCATTGAATACCTGTCTCTGTATAATGTTACTAATGTTAAGTAATGTTACTATGTTACTATTTGAACTCTTTGAATATAAGTAAGTGACAATTTTTTGTTCATTTTTAAAGTTTAATACTATTCTTTATGATTTGCATTTTCTTAACAAAAGTAGCTCCCAAAATGTTTCCTTTAAACATTTACATATAAAATTTTATCTTGTAGTCTCAGCAAGGACTTCCAGCTTCTTCTTGTGTTTTCATGACATATTTCCAATTAGCAAGGATGTGTTTAAGGTTGTCAGTCTTCTCATACACAATTCATCAGATTTTATTATATTATCTGGCTTTTCCTTTCTAATATAGGTGTACTACATTAGAAATGAAAAGCAAGGGAGAGAAAACACCAAAGTGATAAAGACACAACAAACCACAATGTCTGCCCTTGAGTTTAGTGTTACATCTGGTGTTGTAACTAAGGTTTCTTGGCTTGGGGCTACATTTAGTGACCTAAACAATGAATCCATTCCTCATATAGTGTTACAAATATATGATAATCTACTAACATCAGTCAACTACAAAATATGCAAGGTGCACTATGGACAGTAGAGAACAGACCAGTTGAAACACTGCAAGCCCAAGCCATCCATGTGTCACAGAAGCTAAAGTTGATAGATTCCTAAGATTGATTGAAGTCTTGAAATAAGAATGAAAAAGACTGGAATTTCTTAACAAAAATTTAAACCAAATAGTTTATTTTATCTGTTGATTACATAGATGTTTGAAACTAGGACCATCTTTTCCTTAATATTAATGCTTGACAGCATTAATAGAACCTTCAATCACTCATTCACAACAATAATAAAATGACTGTATTTTCCAAACAAAACAAAAAAAAGATGACCAAGTCTAGGCAAGTAAGCTTTGTAAGTGCTCAATTTTAAGTAATAGAATATTAATAGTAAACAAATAAAATAAATATTCAAAAATTCACATTCAAAATTCACCTTCTTGATTCAAAATTCACAGATGATATCTACTCATCAAGAAATTAGATATGTTAATAAATTCAATTTAAGTAATTATATATTATTATATCTGTTTATAAATTCAATAATCAAACTACCTAACCTCACTGATGAGAATCTATGAAACTGGGTCAGGAAGAAAAGTTTTGAAGATTTTATTTGTTTACTCTCTCTCATATATATATATATATATATATATATATATATATATATATATATATATATATATATATATATATATGCATACACACACACACAGAATTCGGCCTGCAATCTTGTTGCCAATGATATCCTCTAATTGTCATCTTTGTTCCACAAAGCACAAGTTTGCTAGTCACTTGGCTGAGTTCTGATAACCTGCTTCCAAAAACAATTATTTCTATAAAGCTACCATCAAATAAAGCTTTATACAAACAAACCACACAGCTCTTTGGTCAATTTTGCCCAGTATTCAGGTTTAACTTCCTAAGAACATTTCAAACCCATCTAGTATCTCAAAAGTAATTAAATTTCTTAATTAGTTATTTTTCAATATTTAGTTGCAATAATGTTTAAATTAAATCAAATCTCTCACATTTTTCTCTTCAGCTTGCTTTGAAAATCAACATTTGAAGTCTAGTACCCATCATTAATCAGTCAAAAAAAAAATTAACTCCCCCAACAAATAAATCCAGAGAGAGAGAGAGAGAGAAAAAAATCAAGTTAAGGCACAAAAACATATATTTAACCAAAAATATTTACACAAGTTATATATATGGTGGAGTCTCCTATCGTGAATGATAAATGAGGGTCAGCAGTGGATGGTGCTTTTCGTTTTACACTTATACATGTTAGAAGAGGCTATTGTGGAGAAAACCCAGTAAGGGAAAGACATATTTCATTTGAGCTTTCTTATACATATATACATACACACACATAAGTACAAATATATTAAGAGGTACTGAAAAGTTCTGAGCTCAACCAAGAGTAGATTCCAAAAGTTCTGATGTTTGGTTTAATTTTGAGAAGTGTGTGAGGTAAAAAAAAAAAAAAACTTTGCAGCACTTCCTAATACATGCACACAATATTACGCTCAAATATAGATATATATATTTAAAACATACTTAAAACACCTAAGTCTGACAGGAAAATATGTATATACATACAAATCCATAGATAGATATATAAGTACCATATATCTTAATGCCCAAATTGTATAGCAGAATTGAATATCTTCAAGAGAGAACAGACATATATATATATATATATATATATATAATTATTTATTTAAAAATATGATTCCAAAATAATTATATTTATGCTCTACTTTTGTATCGAGCACTATTTTTTAAAAATAATAACTAAAATACTAAGGAACTTTGGATTATTTACCTAACCAGTTCCTTCCTATTTTCTATATATTTTCACATATATATATATATATATATACATACATACATGGGTGGGTATATATATATATATATATATATATATACACACACACACACACACACACACACACACACACACACACACACACACACACACACATACAACTGCATAGAGCAGTTTGTTAGATGTGTGTCTAAGGAGAGAGAGAAAGAGAGAAAAGCATTGTTGTATTTTGCTGGTCAGATGGTTAATACACTTGACATTTCAGCAAAACAGGATATTATTTTCTCTGTATGAGTCAATTCAGTATTCACTGAACCATTTCAGGTGATGACAAAGTCATATTACAACTCCATTATCACCTCCAGCACAAACAATGCTCTCTCTTGATTTTCTCAAGATAATACAGCTTTCTGGGCCATTCCACCTGACTCACATGTAATAATATGAGTTATTCCTTACTGTTACTCATTCCAGCAGAGAGTGAGCCAAAAAGTAATAAATTTAACAATTTTGCACAACAATTCTTTTCACTGATTAGAATAAATATCTGACACCATCATATCTAAAAACCAATTGTTCACTGGATAGAATGGATGTCCAACACCATTTTATCCTAAAACCAATTGTTCACTGGATAGAATGGATATTGGACACCACAGACAGTTTGCCTGAGTTCTTACTGGAACTACAGAAGAGGATTTTGAATAAGCAGGAAAGTAAGAAGCAGCAAAACATTTATTTGGTTTATGAAATGTTTAACTCTTATTTCTGGCAAAAAGATTCAGAGAGAGAAAAAAAAGAATGCACTGAATTATTGCTGCAATTTATCCTTCCAATTCAAGAAATATATGTGTATTTAGTTTTCAAACATTATGATTTGAGGGACATCAACATTTCTATGGAATTTCATAATGCATGTATATAATTTTAGGTTAGAATAACAAGTGATTGATAAGAAAAAATAATCATTAAATGTTCTGAATAGTGATTTGTCCATTTGTAAGTGATGAAATACTGAGTAGCATTTCAAACAGATAAAATATTTGGTATTGTGTTTTAGATAGGTTTTCATCTTAACAGAATTTTTAACAGAACTGTGGTTAGTAAGACAATGGAGTTAAAATATCAAATTTAAACAGCTGTAGACTAGGAATTGTGGTAAATGTTTTTAGTGTTATTATCTAATTCCCCAGATTAGTTAAGAAAAAAAAAGAGAGTAAAAATCTGGTAACATACCTTAAAATGGCTGGCAGCTGTGATGTTTTTGACTCTTGGTTGGTTAACATAGTTCAACTGGAGGAGATCATCACTAATTGCATTGTCAGAGAAAATGACAGATGGAGCTACATAGGAATAACCCTGCAGAGGAAAAGAAAAGGTAACAGTAAAAATAATAATAATAATACAAGAGAAATATTAATGAAATTCATATAGAACAATCAAAGTATGAAACAAGCTCTTGAAATTTTCTTCTTCTAAACAGCTGAGATACTGGAATGCTGTATACCAACAGAACACTTACAGATGCTATTCCTTATCCAAAGATGGATGAACAATCTAATGGTGTTTATTATTTTTGTTGTCAATTCTTAAGAACAAAAAAAAAAAAAATGTATAAATTCACTTTCATATGTTTCAGTTTTATATAAATTCTAATCATTACTTTTTAAAACAATAAATATTGCTGAGGAGTGAAGGTAGTTAAAATAATAGCAGTGTCAAGGAAAAAACATCCTTTTGACATTCCATTTTTTGCCAGCATAATGGTTCATGACTGCTAATATTTTTTTTTCTAAATCCAACCAGTCATGTTTTATGTTGTATAAACACTTTGATTGTTTTCAAAAATGAATCAAAATAAATTCCTTCCATTTTAGTTAAGGCAATTTCTTTCAATATAAAGAATATGATTGGTTATTTGATTAATTTATTATACACTCACATGATCAACCTGATGGATCAGCAAATTATCTTATTTTGACTTATCAACTTGACTTATAGATTTAGTGAAGAAAAATAGACCTATCCAATCCTGGAAGCTGAAAACTGACCACAAAAAATAGGGTTAAAGAAAAATAAGTTTAACTTGTTCAAATTCTCACCTTGAATATTTTTTCACCATTTAATGGAACAACTGCTGGTGAATCTGCTGCTTCCATTTTGGTAAATTCTTCAGAAAAATTACTCACGTCCAATTCATGGTTGATTTTGGGCTGTAAAGGAGCAGTGATTTCCTTTCTGGCTAGTTTATCCCAATTCAAATTCTGGGAAAAATAATTGGAAAAAATGACAAAATAAAAAATGGTCGTGAAAGAGAAAATTCTATTAAAAGGCAAAAAGATAAAATGACAAAACTCCTGCTTTAATATAATTTTGAAGAATGTAAGGAAACACTGGTTCTTCATAATTTCTTCTGCTTACAGAAAATGTTATCTATATAGTTCAATTGGCTATGCATTTTCATCAAAACTAATTGTAGAGACATTCAAAATAAAGAGAAAATAATGCATATTGATTTGTTTTTTTTATTGTTTATCAACTTTTTGTAGCTTATTTTAAAGCCAGAAAATAAATTTTTAGACTGTAAGAATGTTTTCTTTGAGGCAATAATGGTTTAGTGATACAAGTCTTACTAATTAACCCATAGCTGGGAGGTGAAGAGATGGATTCATACCTTTCCCAAAGGTATTTGCACATAAGTGAATATAACAAACCCAACAGGAATTAGAACTTGGTTCTCCGATTTCCAATTCTGAGCTGTTACCCATTACACCACCCACACAACCAAGCTTACAGTATCTGGTTTTCCTATGTGATCACCTATTTAGGTATTAATAAGGCTCAATGTTATTTAACTTTGATGATCATTTGAGAACTGGTGTTTCATTGAGCAAACAATACAAATTTATATTAAATATCAACAAAATGAGAATTTTTAATCTATTTTTAATGAATGACAATTTCTTTATTTTAATCTTACCAATGTAAATATTAATTCATATCATTTTTTTCCACCTCTCCCAAAATTCATAAATTTATGATTAAAGTCAACTTACAGCAAAGAAATTGTGTTTTTTGATTTCTCCAGCTCCATTGTAACCAAGCCGCTTGGTGGGATCCTTGTGTAACAAAGCTGCAATAAAGGATTTTCCTGCACTAGAAAAGTGCGAAGGAATTGGTGGATTCTTCTTTAAGATACGCCTGAAAAGGGGAGGAAAAGAAAAACTTATCCACTTTTCCATATTTTCAATTATTTATTAAAATAGGTGCTTTTTTATTCTTTTTTTTTAAAAAAAGACATGTATAGAAAATTTCAACAACTTATATTTGATAACAATGGACTCATCTTAATAATGTCATATTAGTGTAGAATTTTACTTCAATTTCAAAAATTATGTTTATATTAAATGATAGAAATAAAATCATACTATTTTACCAAATTAATTATTTGCATATATTTTTAGAATTAACAAAGCAATTCTTATAAACATTTTTAAGTTTCTTTTAATAATTCTTTTGTTATTGGTAACTTATTTAATTACACCTAAGTTTTATATTATTTTCCCATTGAGTATCTGTCTCTTTATATTGTTACTAATGTTAAGTATTGTTACTATGTTACTATTATCGAAAGGAACTTACTGTGAGATTTCTTTAGATGTGTTTCTTTCACCCTCAACTGTAAATGGAGAAGCACCAGTCAGTAGTTCATATGTTAACACACCAAGGGCCCACCAATCCACAGACTGCAATAAGAAATAAAGAAATGACAACTCGGAAAGTTATGCCCTTATTTTATTATGTTGGCCCACAATGTCAGAAGCAGGTATTGGTGATATAGCAATAACCTAGTATTTTTTGTTACAGATAGCAGATAAGTATCAGTCTGAAAAAATAGTGTTCAACATGAAAGAATATTTGAAACAGAGGTGTGTCAATGAATTTCAATATGGATATAAAATTTCCCCTACTGACAGCCAATGTTTGCTAAACATTTATGGAGACCAAACAGTGGATGTGAATACAGTTATGCAAGGGGACAGCAATTCCAAGAGGCAACCCTGTACAGATGTCAATGTTATCATTGGCCAAAATACATAGCTAATGGTGGGGAAAATATTGTTTTTTTAGCTCTATCTAAAAGATATTACTGTGCTCCCTGTATTTGTTGTAGTTTCTGTAAAAATAAATAGAAGCATTATTTTCATCAGAAAGAGGACTGAAAAGTTCTAAACCTAACCAAGAAGACCTTCTCAAAAAGATCCTGATATTTAGATTTTAGAAAGTGGGCAGGCCAATAACTTTTCAGCACTCCCTCATGTGTTTGTAAATGTTTTCTAGATCCAATGTTAAACAAATGCATTTATAAAAAGTGATACCTATAACAGGTTTGGTATTTATGTAACTGGGGTTTATCACTGGAGGTGGACATGTAGAGATCTAGATTATTATTAAATAACAGTTACAGAGAACATTTTTAGCAAGGAAATTGTTAGTAATATCCAACTATACATATGAGGAAGCACTTTACAAAAATAACAATTGTTGACTATTTATTGTCAAGAATAAAACTAACCTCTTCTACTAATTAAATGCTCAAAAATCACTTTATTCACCACAAAAACATTTTAGATGATATTGCAGAAATAATGATTCAGTTTTTTTTATACTAAGTGATTAAAAGCATAGAAAATATAATTGTATAATACAATCAGAAAGCATCTTCAATATTTTGCAAAATCATATATCAACAAAGTCAGAAAATATTAAAAAAAAACAAAAAAAAAACAATGAATCTCAAAGAAGCAATAATTTTGATAATTTTTGTAAATTTTATTGTGATTTTTCTGACATCTACATGTTCCTGCCTTTGTTTTACAGATGAAAAAATACTTATTTTACTATATGATAACAGATGTTACCAATATACATAGTTTTAATAATAATTAAAATTGATTTAAATTAACAGGAACACAAAATTAACAGGACAATTTGGTGATTTAACCAATTCATTATATGTAAAAATAATTAAAAATTACCTGGTAGATGTTTCTCTGAATGGATGTCATTTTTTTAATGTAGCTTCATGAACACACATTTACTACTTGAAAAAATATGAATTTTTAATAGTAAGTCTTAATGAGAATTGTACAAGGGAATTGTATAAACATTTTATAAATAAAACTATAAGATAATTTCAAAGCTTTTAACTGCTGGTTCTTGAGTTGCCTTAGGAGAATCAAGCAAACAATAATTTTTTAAAAATACATTTGACACTATAATCCCATACTTTCTTTTTATATTGAAATAATGACTTTTAGAAACTAATATCAAGATTTTTGTTAAAAGATTCCTGCAAGTTTTTAGTTTAGCAACACCAAATGTTATAAAACAAAAAAATACTGACTAAATATTGACTATAAATTTATTTCTGTGAATAAATTTTGTTTTTTCTAACCTTTTTTAAAGCATATTTTCATAAATAAAGAAAAATAGAGAAACTATATGTAAAAATATGTGACTATATAAAATCTTTAACAGAAGTCCAATAGAATTTTTAAATTACCACAATTTCTTTAAAAAAATGTCTATAGATCCTTGAAAATAAAAATTTGTATTAGTATTAAATATTTATTTTGTAGGACAATGTTTTCTTGTAACAAATACAAAAACAACATTTTAATACTTTTCAAGATCCTAGTCTGGTAAGCTATCAAATGTTTGCCATGACATCTCATCCAGCAAATATCCTCATTTTGTGCAATTCTCGCCTGAATCAAAGTTTTATTCTTTAGCATCAATATTCATTTGAAATGAAAAAGTAATTTAGTTTTTGCAATATTAAATTTTTTAATAAAATTTTGTACTACCAACATGCACTACCAGAACCTTGTCTACATTTTTCAAATTCATTTTTTAAAAGTCTATAGTAAATTCTCCAAGCATAACAAAATTAAATCTACCACTGAGAAAATATCTATAAATATCAATTAAACAGTTGCAATTATTCAATGGCTAAACTTGTGTCCCTGATAAATGATTTAACTCTTTTACTTTGCTTTCCTCTCATTATTTTTGCTATTTTTTTCCAAAATTTGACTTAAATCTGATAGCACTTTTTTACTGGTTCATTTTTCTTAATATCGCCGTGTACTTCTTTAACAATGACAATTTTCAAAAATTGTAATACTTTTTCAATTAACTGTTTCTACATTATCCTATCTATTTAATAATAGGTGAATTTTATTGCATCTTAATAGAAGTCTTTTACAGTATATTCTTAAGAACAATGGTAAAGTATTAAGTTAAATTTACTGAATTTAATTATGACATTTTTCATTAATTTCACAGTGAAAAAAGAAGGTAGAGTTGTATAATAGGTATTTTGTTTCATATTACTATATATTATGTATTCCAGATCAGAAATATAATTTTATTTTAAATTAAACTTTAGAAAAGTGTTATAGAGTATAAACATCCCAGAATATGAACTTCAGAAAAACTTTATTTTCTTAAATTTTAAGAAGTCATATCTGATGAGTATATTTGTTTTGATTTTCATAAAGGAATAAATTTACAATGAATCTTCATAGCAAAGTGATGTCCCTACCCACCAAACATTTATGAAAATTAATAAAATTCTTTTTTTTTTTTTTAATATCTATGATCTATTGTAATGTGATTGATCTTTAGTAACACTAAAAACAATTTTGAAAAAAATTGATTATTTTTGGTTGCAGTATCTATTGTACAACTGAAAAAAGTTACAGATTTTACATAGTCACATATTTTTATATATACTTTCGCTATTTTTCTCTATTTATGAAGGATGGTAAAATATACTTTAAAAAATAAAAAAATTATTCAAAAATAAATTTATAACCAATATGTTCATTTATATGACAAAATTCTTAATAACATTTTTAGCAAGTTTCAGCTTAAAATAGTTCAACTACACTACTTTATATTGTTTTCTCCTCTTAGATTTTTGTGATATATTTTAAAGAACAGTTGTAAAATATTAAATTTACTGAATTTAATTATGACATTAACAATGTGATAAAATTCTTAAATACTTTTCATGAATTTACCAATGCAAAAAGTTGCATTTTTCTCTTGTATTTGCAAAGGACATTAAAACTAAAATTTAATATACATTTTTAAATACCTGTTAGAACAAAAATCTATTCCTAAAAAATGAAATTTTAATAAATTTGACAATGAATATTTTCATTGTTAGGAAGAACAATATCGGAGAGAAAAAAATTAACTTTGTGATAAAATTCTTAATGACAATTTTTGTCAATTTTGCATAAAAAAGTTTGCTTCTTTTTTGTTTTTTTTTACAATAAAATTAAAATAATGTAAGTTCAAAAAGAAAATAAATTAACCCTATATTTACTTCAGTATCTTAAATAATAAACTAAAGTTAATCCAAGCGTAAAAAAAGATGTCATTTTTAAAAACGAATATAAATTGTAATTTATGTCCAACCCAAATCGTGGACCCCAGTCACATGGCTACTAGGCCTGATATAGGTATTGCCTTGATTTAACTTTATTTATATTTAATATTTTCCATGCATTCCAACATAAAGAAGTAAGTATCAAATAAATAAATACAAAACTTACAAAATCATGTCCTGCAGAACTGCCTCGTACCACCTCTGGAGCCATGTACTCCATTGTACCACAATAGGAATAAGCTCGATGGTTCTGAAATAAGAAAAATAGACCATCAAAAACTTTTTGCAAATATTAAGGAAAACTACATCAAGATATCTGTGATATCACATAATCCAATTAAATCCAAAGAGTACATTTAGAATCAGGTATTGCTGAGAGAAATGACAATTATAAAAGATGTAGCGTAACAGAAAGATTAACTTTTCCAGTCAAGAACTACTCTCTGTGTTTATTGCAGTCATCCAGAGAACTGATTTTTTTTTTCATTAGAATTAATGACTGGAATCAATAGTAATCCAAAGGTGCAATATCTTGTGAATATGTTGGAGAAATGAAATCTCCCTGCCAAGCTGTAATAATTTCTTCTTAATCAGCAAAGAAACATACAGTCTAATAATATCCTGCCCTTTCTCTTAACTAATTCCAAATGCTTTTTCCTTGAATAATGCCTTCAATTAGTCTAATTCAGAGCAATACTTTTTTAATACAAACATTTAGTATACACTTTTTATCACCTGTCATAATATTTCAGAAATAAAACATTTTTACTTATATAGAAGTCACACATCAAAGGTACTCTTATCCAAGATGATGCAAATGATATTCAATGTTGGATCTGGATATTCTGAGTATGTCTTTTGACTATTTTCAAGTAATGTCTTCATTTGATCATTATCAACCACAACTGGTCTAGCTAACCACAGTGCATCATTTAGTGAAAAGTCGTCTCCAATACAAAATTTCACAAAACACTTTTGACATAGTTGATCACTAACCATAATTCATTTTGCATTTATGTGACATTTTCTTAAAATAATGGTCCAAATATTGCTCATAAAATCAATAATTTTGATAATTTAAAAAATAAAAAGATATGATAAAACAATTATTTTAATGAACTTAATTAAAACTAAAACATTCTATGTCATCTTACAACAAAAACAGAATTAATATTTTAACCAGCCCAATATAAGTGAAATTTCCCATATTCACTATTTTATATTCAGATTTTAAGTAGTTTTTCATGGTTACAAGACATTTGCAGAATTATTCAATTATCTAAAATGCCACATTCAATAGTAAAGATTTCAATGAAAATTAAATAACTAACTTTATAAAAAAATTCAAAATGTCATATCAAAAAAATTAAGAAAATAAAAAGCACATGCACAAAACATTAAACATAACATTTTTTTTAATTTCAATGTATTTAAATATAAAAACTACAAAGATTCTGACATTTTTGTTAACAAAGTTATGTCTTTCATGTTTCAAATATCAATGGTATTATATTTTTATACCTAATGCTAATCCAGTTTTTTCTACTTGGACAATATAATAGATAAGAATTTAACTGAAATCAATCCTCAAATTTGACATCAACAACATTAATAACTATAAATACATCCATTCTTTTTAACAGAAACCTGTATAAATATTTTTATGATTTCTACTTAAATACTGATATCCACTTTAATTGTGTATTGTAAAATTGTCTGCACTAGAAGATCTCATTGATTATAAAGTGCCCTTGCATAGCAACTAATATGACATGCAGGGGCCAAATGATCATCTCAGCTGCCTTCCTTGACACAAACACCCATCAATCAGGCAGCTTTTGTCACTAAGCCAAGTCAGAGACTAATGTACTTGGCAATAGATTTATGAATAGTCATTGACTTGTACCACTAGTCAGGGTATAATTTGCTCATTTAGACTTTGTTCACTTTCTATAGTCCATATTTAGATTCAGCTCAAAAGAAACAAACTGAAACTTTCTATAAAATAAATCAGAACATTAAAATCTTGAAAGAAGAAAAGGATGAATGTAACATAATACTTTGCAAACAGATTATTCAACAAATTCCAGATTTTCTTATGTATTATATAATCCAATAGAATGTTATACTTTCTTATCTGCTTTGGATTAATCAGACTAAGATTTTCAGATTTCATTTTCAATGAATGCAGATAAGAATAAAATAATTATATTTGTTAGCAAAGAAAGAATATTTGGTAAAGAAAGAAGAACATTCTTTTATTTGGTAAAGAAGAACATTCTTTTATTTGGTAAAGAAGAACATTCTTTTATTTGGTAAAGAAGAACATTCTTTTATTTGGTAAAGAAGAACATTCTTTTATTTGGTAAAGAAGAACATTCTTTTATTTCTGTCATAAAAATTCCAAAACAGAAGTTGGGGTTCCAAGTATATTTCCAGGTTATGACAAAATAAATAAAATCTATAAAAAAATCTAATTCTATTTTGTTTATTGCTTTTGAGATTTGAGCTTTTCAGGTCAAAAGGTCAACATCCTTGGACTTATTCTCCTCTTGAAGTGAAGGAGGGCCCAAGTGCTTGTTATGCTCACAATAAGCTTAATCAACAGTTGCAACAGGAAGACTTGAAGCATGCCAGGAGTGGTTCTTTAATAGTATACAGCATAACTTACCAAAAGTCAGCAGAGATAGAGAAAAGGAGATCAGAAGTGGTCAGCTGACTGACTGGTCAGTTAATATTTCATGGTCACTGGGTTTGACCAATGTGGTCAGAGATTATAAAAAAAAAAAAAACATGAAACACCACAATATTTTTTTGACTCAAATAGATTAGCAGGAATCTAATTTAAGAATGTTTAACTCATTAATCCTCATTAATCCTCACTGCTACAAAAATGGGACTGTTGACCATTAATGGGTTACAGAGAGAGACTCATAAATAAAACTGGATTTTTTTTTTACAAACTTATATTTAATAATGGTGGGTATAAATGGCTTAAAAGCAATAAATAAAACACAAATATTATATTACTCATCATATAGAAGCAAATAAGTTAGGCAAGATGATTTTATTAATTTGTAATATTGTTTTAGCATTCTATTTCTATCAAGTAAATAAAATATTTACAGAGTATATTATGATCAAATACTTCAACTTGAGAAAAAAGATCATCCAAGATATTTGTAAAATATGTCCATGATAAATTTAATTAAAAAAAAACTGATGTCAACTCACTGTATCACCAGGTAAAAATTCTTTGCTGAGGCCAAAATCTGTAAGGACAATATGTCCAGAAGAGTCAAGTAGAATATTTTCCAATTTAATGTCTCTATAGATGATGCCCAGCTGAAAGCAAAAAAGAAATTGTTATATCAAGAAACCTGATTATGTTACTGGAATATTTCACATTAGACAAGCAGAAGAAGACTATGAATCATTCAAAAATAAAACAGTCAAGAGGTTTAAAATTATTTTTGATACACTGAAACCTAAATCGATTATATAATCACTTGTGATTTGATCAATCATTTGAAATTTTGCCATTATTACACACATTATTTTGACTATCACTGATCACTATCTTTCAACGTTTTCTGGCTTTCTTAAGGTGAGAGATATCCACACACATTTATACATAAATATGAAATTTGAATTACATAATTTCCAATCTATGTCATTAATGCCATGTTAAGTGCATTGACAAGGAAGGAAATTATGCTAAAAAAGAAATATTTATTGTGTAAAATAAATGTCTTTTTCATCTTTATTTTCAGAAAAATCACACATATCAGTACAGATTTATAGGATGATCTGTTGTGTATGGAAAACATGGACAAAAGATTCATACATGTGTAATGCACTGATGTTGTACTTGTGAAAAGGTCAAGTTGATGGGAAAATTTCAAGACTGAAATATTACCAATAATCAATAATATTACAAAGATGATTCAAGGTAAATGGAGATGAAACAAGTGCAATTCTCAGTCAAATAAAAATGATTTCCATTGTTATACCATATTTGTGATTTTGGCAGTTTGTCAGATTATTTGCAGAAAGATAAGGTACAAGTAGTGGTATATACCATTAGATGTTAATTCAAATTCAGCAGGGTATTTCAGCATATATGACATACTCAAAATTAATCTAAAAAAAAGTACTAATTTCATATTGTAAAAGTAAATAAACTATCTTTATAGCAAGACAATATTTATTAAGAATGAAAAGAGTAAGAGTTTTTTTTAAATTTTGATGAATAGTTCACAAGTTGATCATAGAAAAAAAAAGGCACAATTTCTGTAGTTTCATTACATAGTTTTTTTTTGTTTTTTTTTAAATACAGGTTCTTTATAAATTAATCAGGATTCTTCTTAAATTTAATTTAACCAAGATTTTATACCTATGTTATATGGTATATTAATAAGTTGTATAGGTGGCTGAGAGGTTAGAACATTCACTTTCCAAACATTAGACCTGGGTTCAAATCTCACCATGGTCAATTTGTAAGGAATGTTTACTTCTTGATGTTATTGGGTAGGCAATCCCAGCAAGTGGCACCTTTGGAAAATGACTGAAAACCATAATACGGGTTGACACAAGCATTGTGAGTGAAATTGGGTAGACGGAACTATTTGGGGAGCCATCAATGCTTGCACTAACACAAAGTTGCAAGTCATTGTGACTGAGGGTTTGAGTACTGGCCTTGCCCATACTGTTGATCATACCAGATAATGCACTCCTCCAGAAACTGTAACTATGGTCAACTCAGCATAGTTGCAGTATAAATTACAGGTGGAGTGCCCGAGCAGGTATCTGTAATAGGGATTAGCTTGCAGCACTAGTAGCTAGGCATACACCAATACAAATGGCAACCATTATTATATATTAATAAGTGCAGAAAACTTATCTCTATATAGATATTTTTTTTTTTGCAGTGTCCCTTCAGAACATACAAGATCATGACTCTCCAGATACATTTTCTTTATTACCTGTGCATTACCATGCCTTCTGGAAAAAAATAGCCAAATAGTTTCTCATTAGACTGGTTGCCACCCAAAACTAGAAAGTCCAGTCTATCCTGCTATTTAGACCATAGCTGGGGGTGCGAAGAGACAAATTCATGCCTTTCACAAGGGCATTTGTATGAAAGTGAACACAAGAGACAAGCCTAAAATTTGAACACAGCTCACTTATATCCATTACACTACCCCCACATCCCTGTATATAGTATAAGTTTAAAATATGAGTTTAATGTTAGCTATCATAGGCTATAGATGTGTGTATATATGAGAAAGAGAGAGTTTGTATGTGAATGATATCAACATACATCAACTGTTTGTTGCTTAATAATCAAATATTATTTACAATTGTTTTGCTTTTTTTTTTGTTTAAAGATATTCTCATCTAATATATGTGGCTGACTAATGGTAGCAAAATGAATGAATGAATGAAAGGGCCTGTGGTAAATAGGATGTTAATTCTCAATGTTTGTGGGTGGAATACCACAATAACTAATTCTTTTCCTTCCCAGACTTACTGCCTCTAGCTGAGAGCACATTTCATGTAAATGTAAAAGAATTACTCTGATCTTTACAAAAGCCAACTAAGAAGAAAGTGAACAACAGGATATGGTGATCCTCATGAATACTTTTTCTATAAACAAACATATCATACAGATATATGTAAATGGCACACATATATATCAACTCAAAATTGATCATATTAATGTAAAAAGATTAAACTATACAGATAGTAACACTAGAAAGCTTCCATCTATAATTATTTCATTATAATGGATATATTTTCTAGATATAAATACACTTATACTTACCTGCATATATAAAGATAACACAGAATATACAATTAAAACAAAATGCCCAATTTTGTAAATGTTTTTAAATAGAGATTTACTGAAGATCTTTAAGTATAATTATCCCACTTTATTCTTTATATAAGGATTATTTACTATATCTTATTAGCATATATACATTGTATTAATAATCAAAACCTAACATATTAAATTTCGATAAATTGAATTTTAATCTGAAATTTTGGGGACTAAAATGTTTGATGTAGGTGGATATTTCTCAATGGATTAAATGCATTGACAGGAAAAAAAGTGTGTGTGTGTATATATATATATATATATCTTATTAAAGAAACTTTCTTTAATAATATTTCTCAAACATTCAGGCCAGTAGATGAAATTAAATAAACATGCTGTTTAATAAATAGAGCACCTACTCAAATACAAGTATCTGCTAAAAATAACATTTAAAGTGATAAAAATCTGTTGGATTAATAAAAAATGGTGTGTGTATATATATATATATATATATATATATATATATATATGATGCGATGGATAAATTGTCACATAAATTACACAAAAATTAAAATAACACTGACATTTCATTTTAGCAGATATATTTACCAAAATTACACAAAAATATCTTGAAATACTAAAGAGTAAATTTATCCAATAAAATCTTCATTGGCTATAACCACAGCCTCCAGATGACTTTAGAATCTCCTGCAACTTTTCTGGACAGTCTCCTTGTTTATGTTGGTGAATGCTGCCATAATCTTTGCCGTATAGAGCATTGGTGCTACAAGGAGTTTTGTTGGTCTCTCACTCAACTGCAACCTACAGATAATGCCCATGGGGTTTGCAGTCTGGGGAGTTATGTGGCCAGATGTAAAGGGTGATGTGGTTGCAGAAATTGTCTGACAGCCATGACTGGGTTCTCCTGCTTGTGTGACATGGTGCAGAGTCCTGTTGACAGACATAAGGTCTTCCAGCAGCCACCCACTTGACTTAGGGTAGCACTACCACCTTGAGGAACTTTATGTAGGCCTCCGTTTTTTGAGCTACTGCACCTTCATAATCACCATTAGACTCAGCCAACTCTTACCAAATCCTCTGCACTGTCTTCAGATCGACACCCAAACACACTGAAATGTTTGTACTGGAGCTTCCAGTACAAATACCAAACAGTACAGTATGATGTTTTCAAATTTTTGGCAGAGTGAATTGCATCTTTTTCTAACAGACCATACCAAATTGACTTTAATATACTGTGCAGTCAACAAAATCAAAAACAATGTGCATGTGAAATTAAAAATATAAAATGGAGACAATTTAACCATCACACCCTGTGTGCATATATATATATATATATATATATATATATGAAGAAAAATATACCGAAAAAACAAACAAAAATCCTAATATGCAATTATGCTGTTTTAATGTAAATATAATGTCAACGTCAGACGTTTCGGTCTAATAGACCATATTCAGGACATATTCATAAAACATACTTAACATAGACCATATTCAATTCAACATGAAAAAGACGATCAATCCAAACAGATAACTGAAATCTTTTATATATATATATATATATATATACATATATATATATATGCACACACAGACATTTTTTAACCAGTTCACCCCAAGCATGCTGATAATTCCACTAGGAAGTGAAAAGAGAATGAGAAGACTTTAGTGAGGAGAAAGGACAAAAAACAGGGTTCCGGAAGACAGAAGATGACGACTTATATTGCCTTTAAATTTTTGAAGATTGTAGGTGGCAGGGATGCAAGAAATCAGAAAGCAGTTCCATAGGTGAGAAGTGCAAGGAAAGAAACTATTAGAATTGAATTTATGGTTACATCTAGCTAGTTCAATTGTAAAATGGTGAGACTTAGTTGCCAATCTAGTAGTAGGCTTAAATTCAAGCAGTCAAGGTACCATGGAGGAAAGCTCATCAGAACAATTATGTTGAAAAATAAATATTTTTATGTTGAAAAATGTTTTTTTCCTTGTTAGAGTTGTTGATATAGTTGTGTGTATATACATAAACTGAGACTACCTTTTATATGTATGTATATCTATAATAAGCATGGTAAATATATAAGACAATTTTGAAAACTCTTATTTTGACATGTTTCATTGATCAAGCAACGCCATCAGAAAAATGGATTTCCTTTCAACCAAATCTGATTCACAGTTGTTTTACTTTAACTGAATCATTTTTAAATTGGATTTTATTAATTTCAAGTTTTTATTTATATATTCATTTGTTTAAAGATTTTTCATATCCCTATAACAGGTACATAAATAAACACAAAACTATATACTAAATGAAATACCTGGGAATAAGATTCTTAACAAAAAACAATAAAACCAAATATGAAAAGCATTCAAATCTCCAAATTCATTTAGCAAACAGAAATGGAGGTTTCAAAAATAAAAAAAAATTAAAACCAAAAGAAAAAGGCAATTAAAAACAAAAGACTTTATGCATATAGGCTAAATGGCAGATTGTCATTTAATAGAA